GAAGAAGAGGGAGGGTGTATTCAATAAACTTTCAAAGATTATCGTATCCAGTTCTTAGTGACCAGACTCGGTATGATGGCAGAGCCAAACTACTCCCTATCCAGAGCATTTTGCTCCCACATTCATACCTACGGACAATTTAGAATCACCAATTAACCTCAACATGTTTTTGGACTGTGTGGGAGGAAGCTGGAGAACCCAGAGAGAACCCACGCTTCACGGGCAGAACATGCAAACTCCACGCAGAAAGATCCCGGTGCCCCCACCGGGACGCGAACCGGCAACCTTCTTGCTGCGAGGCAACAGTGCTACCAACTGCAGCCCGAGTATAAACATATATATATATATATATATTATATACATCTTATGTATGTGACAACAATAGGATGCAATTGCCTGACATCATGTTGTTTTACATTTCATTTAACTATAGACTGTATTTTCTATAAATGTATATACTAGAAATACATCAGCTTAACAGTGTAAGTGATGAATTCAATCTGTGAAAAATGTCAGTGAATGTTAAAATGTTTTAGTATTTGCTCACTTTGGACTTTATCAACAGCAAGCAGCACTGTAGCTCCATGCAACCTACTACTTTGTTCAAACCTAATAACAAATGGTATCCCAGCATGATGTGATCTTGTCACGTTAGAAATTACTTTCTCAGTCACGGTTGAGGTCAGGTGACTGTGGACAAACATCCATGGCAGTGGGCACTCTTTGGTTTTCTCTGGTCCTCAAGTCAAAGCCTTCTGGTGTGTTTGGCCTCATTATTCTGTTGCAGTGGGAATCCTTCTTCCCAAAGGTGTAAGCTCGAGGGTGGAGCATGTCTGTGAAGAATAGACAGTCCCTCTAGGATTTTTTGAGATTGTTGTGGCCTGAATTCGCTGCAGCTTTTCTAAAAAAATTGCGATGTAAGATGCAATGTTTTAAGCTAATTTGTTGCGATGAAATTGCTAAAAAGTTTTGTTTTGGTTTTCTTTTTCATGGTTTTGTACAATTCATTAAAAATCAAAGGTAACTTGTTGTAGTAGGAATAAAACTGCACTCTGGCCTAAGTGTTCCCAAAAAGGCTCAGGATTACCAAAGTTTAACCAAGTATGCTTTATTTATGGAAGGCCCCACAAAAGTACTCCTTCTTTCACAAAAGTAAAGCTTTGTTGGAGCTCAAACTCAGTAAAACCTTGAGCACAGAAGATTGCTAAATGTCAATGACAATGACAAACCTTGTCATTGACCCACGACAAAATGAAAAGAAAAAAAACCCTGCAGAATAATCTTAAAGCTAAAGTTCAAAGAACCTCCCAGTAAGACTAAATAGCTTAATTAAACTCATGTTCATAAACATCCACAACAACGTACAACCCTGTATTCCTATGATAACAATTACTGAATGAATTACTGACCTCAGATTCTGCAGGGTTAAAAGTTAAACTGCACATAACCTCTCAGTAAACATTTAGCATCACTGATGCAGTTACTCTTTAGGAACAGCACTGAAGCCTGGGATGTATTGTTAGCTGGACACATCATCATTGATAAATGCAGTATGACGAGGATCAAACACCCTGACCTCCTGAAGAAAGTTAATGGCAGGCTGTCCATCTGACGTGTACTTGCTGAGTTTCTCCTCAGCATTGTTATATGCCTGTTGCACTGTGTTGAGGATGTGTGTCTTGATAGAAAAGATTATGTCAAGTCCCTCTAAGTACTGGGCTTCATCCTGTAGCTCTCTATTTGCAGCAAAGTTTATCTGCAGATCTTCCAGGTCGTCAAAAATCTTGATAGTCACAAGACGTCTGCTCTGGAAGACGTCCAGCAGCTGAATGATGATATTGCACTTGTCTGCCATGATGCTGATCTGGACCTGCAGACTTTGAGCCATATCTGGTTTTTTGCAGCATTTCATGGAGTCTCTCCACAGACTGTGGTGTGCTTGAATAAAATCGCAAATTATAATGCATGCTATCAAGATGGCAAGCAATCTCAAACAGAATAGTAAATCATTCCAATGGGTCTGAAGTGTATCAGACACTTTCATGTTTTATCAGTATTTGGCTGGTGGTTGGTGTTAAATTCTTACTCTCATCAGAATTGTTGAAAAAAAAAATCCACCACAACACAGTAGCTTACCTTTTATAAGAACTTGTTTGTGTTTGACTGTTTCCTCTCTTTCCTCTGCCTCGGTGAATCTCTCACACACTCGCGATCTCTGATTTCATTACACATCCAACTAGCTAAATTGAAGACAGTTTGTAGAACATGTTTCAACATTTTAATTGACAATATTTATTCCTAAACTAATTCTTTAACACGCTCCAACCCATGTAAACAAGCACACACACCACGGTGGGAAATTAGCACTACTGGTTCAACATGAAGTGGTTGGTAGATTTAAGGCACAAAGTGATCATTTACTGTTGAATGAATCATATTTGGACATATCTGTCAGTGGCTTAAAAAGTT